AGGAATGCAATTTTTCACTACTTGCTCATTCAAATAGCAAAAGTGGTCCCACAGGGCTAGAGGCTTGGTATTGCACATTCTTGTCAGTGTCACTATTTTCTCAGAATCTTCAAATGAACAGCATCTCTCCTTGGTACTTACATCACTTGAGTTTTTCAAATTGCTCTTTAACTTCCTTAATAAGTCTTCAATTTCTATTAAGGCCACATTCTGATTTCCTGTGAAGAGTGCCAGTGGAAAATTAAATTTTCCCATTATCTTCTACAGTAACAACTGACGGAAAACAAATTGAAAACTTCTTTACTTTTTTACCATGCTTTAAATTTTGAACTCCATGCAAGTTAAATGTAGCCACAATATCCTCTTGCCTATACTGTATTTCCAGATGTCTTTAAACTGGGGGTTTTTTTCCTATCAGCTGACTCACTTTCCTTTAGGTATTTTTGTTTTGGTGCCACTTCACGTTTTATCACAGCAGCTCAACCATAAGAAATGTCCTGATTTTACACTATTTAGCTTGGGAGGGTAGCGGGGAAATCAAAGCTTCCTTCAAATTTAGCATTCTTCAATACCTGCATTTTGTCTATTCACGTACAGATTGGTTAAAATATAAAACCATAAACCTAAGACCGTTCCAGTTTGTCGCAAAGATAGGCTCCAAGATCACTCTGACAATGACTGTACATGCAGGAGTCACTGTTATTCAATGAAGTTTAGTCATTCACACATGAGCCACCACTAGCGAACAACTACCCTAATAAAAACATGCAAAACTGGAGAAACAAATGCATGCTTTTGGTTTTTTAATTATGACCAGTACAGTAACCCCACGAGCTAATATCAGTTTGTCAGAAGCCAACAACAGCAGGAGATTCTTAGGTTCCTTTCATACTTTTACATACCTCATCCTTTTGTCACTTTGTCACTTCTTTATAATATATTCCTAGAATTACACTGATAATTTTCAAATCACTACAGTCCATTTCAGACGCCATCTTTCCATTAAATCTTCTGATAATATAGGTAAGACTCAAAAAACGAAGTCAAAAGATTTATCACTTGATGTCATATTTTTCTTCAAAAATGCACTTTAAAAGCAGCATTAACAACATCTATTACTGAAAAACAACTTTCCAAACATGACTCAAGACTGAATTACAACATTCTGCAAACACATTAGCACCCAATTGTTTATAAACTATTTCAAATATGAATCTAAATGACTATAGTCCATTTCTGCAGGAACTGTAGGTTAAAAATCTACTGTCTGTATTACTGTTTTAAACCTGCTTCAGTCCTAAAAAGTGTATCCCATGCAAGCAATTTTTTATGAATTACAGCGACATCTTTGCATTTCCTGTACTCTGAGACACAATATAAAATGTCATACTACACATCTCTGAAAAGGATATCCCTAATTAAAACAGTATTCCAAATCTACAAATATTTCCACTCTCCTTTTCAAGAGTAAATTATCTGAAGTGGATCATCATAAATCAAGTCGCAAATCTTTTTGTCTCTGGCTAACTTTGTTTTTCTCAATAGCATGAAAACTTACACTCTGCTTTTTGAAAATGTCTCATTTTTCGTGACTCCCTGTCTTGACCACCTCACAGTTTTTAACCAATACCCAGTATTGCATTTGGTGATGAAGATAAAAATGACCATTCTCCACCATTCAATGAAGGTCTTTATTTCAATATAGTCATCATTCTATGACATAGAACAGAAAACTAAGCCTATTTTTTCTTTCCTCTACTAAGAGAGATTCATTGCCAACTTAGTCTGAGGTGCGAGTTTTTCACTCTTGTCTGAAGTTCTCAACTCTGTCATCTATGGGCAATAAGCACTTTCTATACTGCCAAGCAACACTTAACCAGCACATCAATTTTAATCAGCCTTCCACAAGCCCAGGCTGCCTGTGAAGATTTGAAAATATGAATTACTTGTAATTATCTCTTGGAAAAAAAAAATTAAAAAATCTAGCCTTCAACTTTCCTATTGCCACAGATGTGAACACATCCCATTCAATTAATTCAAAACATCTGGTCTAGATGACACACTGTTGATCTTTATCATCATTTATCCACAGGCTCTCTCCTGCTGTAATGAATGAAACCAGTTGCCTGTTCTTGCCTCTTATGCTGAGGATAGGAGAGTTTCCAATAAACCAAAAGTAAGATCCTGCTCACATCTGTCACTGCTGCAAAGCTTCGTCACAGTCTGGTCCCACGAGTATGACTGCACTCTCTCTTCTGGGCATTTACCGTTATAATGAAGTCTTGATTCTTTTTTTTTTTAGGATACTACAATGAAGTACTTTCACAAACCTATATCCAATCCAGAAGTCACATTTTTGTTTTGATGCTTAGAAAATATCTACCAACAATAACCTAATGGGCTTACTAAAGTCGCTGCTTACAGTGAACTACTTCTGCATCACCATTATTACATCCTACATTTTTACTTCCGGTTGACATTTTCACTATTTCAGTCTTGCACATTATTTCATCTCTGTGAAGTTTTACTAAAACATTTGACCATAATTATAAACGTACACAATTCTTTAGACATACTATCCTTAAACACAGCCTCGTTAAACAGCAATTTTGCACAATATAGCAACACTATATAATAGCTCCCAGTTATTTTTAATCTCACAAATTCGCAAGTGGTGGAGGAGTATGACACGTTATTATGGTCAGTACTCTGTTACACTAACATTTCACAAACATTTAGAGCATAGGAAGGTCTCCAAGCCTTAAAACAGAACTATACTTACTAGTTTTGCTTGCTGTGCATTTACTGGATCACCATACTGCAGTAAAGCTTGAAACTGGTTATTCTTTGTGAATGTGATTATCTTCAATACAGCACCAAATTTAGAGAATATCTGCCAAAAACATTGTAAAGTTTTACACACAAGTTCCTCGCAATCACAGCTCAAGTTAAAATGAAATTTGGCTTACCTGATGAAGAACATCCAGGGTTACCGGATAGTACATATTGTCAATAATTATTCTAAGTACTGGACTCTGAGCTGGAGTCACTGCGCTCTCACTAACAGTGGTCCCGCTAATGGGAGCATTTGTTGCCTGCACAGCCGTCACTGCCTGAAGAACAGCTTGGGCCCGCTTGGGAAAAAAAAAAGACAGAAGACAGATTTATTTAATATTTTAAGATGATAGCTAGAAATTAATGAGCAATATTAATATAGTTAACTGCAAAAACATAAAATAGTCCACTTAATTTAAACTCAGAGCTACAGACAATACACAACGTAAGTGCAATGCAGTCCGACTCTGTGAGAAGAGACAATAAAAATGAAAACATCAATTAATCCTTATGTCACAGTAAGGAGAGGCTTCAAACTGCACCAATATCAATCTTCCTAGTAGCAAGCTTATTGTTCTACTAGTAAGGATACAGAAAGTGAGGATTTTGTAGGTTTCAAGACTTTTTACAGGCTTTTGTCTTTCCTTTAAAGAAAAACAAAACAAACACAAACCAACCAACCAACAGAAAACTGCAAGCCTACAGAAATCAGAAGTATTTATCCTATTTTTCAAGAGATTGTATTACAATTAATATTTCCCTGCCGTTTTAATTATGTAGAAGGCTCTGATAGAAAAGGATAATGCTAAGCTAACACTTCCAAACCTCTCAGTTTTAACACAATAATAATACACGAGACTGACAAGTGTCAGAAACTAGGATCCACAGAGAGGTAAACAAACCGGTGTCTGTTACACACCCTCTCTCATAAAAAGAAAAACAAAATCCTCTCCATGTGTGGGGATGTTTTGGTTTTTAAACACAAGCAGGGTTGTAGAAATTCAAGGTAACCACGAGATGACATCACAAGAACACACATCTATGTAACTACTTCCACTGCCAAAACCGACAGCATCAGAAAGATTAGATGTCTTTTTCTGGGAAAGAAAAAGTGCAGAAAAAAGGGTTTCCATTTAATACTTTCATTACAGTAGCCTTATGAAGCAAAACAATACAAAACAGAGAGACAAGTGAGCATGCCAGGTAAAAATAATAACCACCATATTAATGCATACTGCGGACTTTAAAGGTATTAGAGCTACTACACGATTTCATGTCTCAAAACTTACATGATATTCCTCATACTGAAACGAATCAATGAGTAAGGAAAGTGGGGGAAAAAAAGAAGACCTGGTGAACACTAGTTGGGAAAACACAATTTACCTCTACGTTTAACATTAATCATCTGTAAAAGCATCTTTTGATAACAACATGTTCCTTTTTTCCCTAACGTATGAAATGCACAACTTTCAAGCTAACCAGATCTTTGGCTGAGTCGCAAAATTACTTCCTACTCCTTCTGTAAGCACAGAAGCAGCACTTATCAATTCAAGTCACTTTAAGGAGTGACTTGAAAAGTTTAGACTCTATAACCCAAAACCTGTAAAGTCAATTTTAACAAATGACCCGCGTTAGCACTATCTAACTATGCTGATACATCATATGTCATTCCACTAAAGTTAATGTGAATACATGAAGGAATGCAGGACTTAACACTGGCAAATAATCTATAAAATTACTATGACAGTCATTTGACAAACAAGTTCAAAACAACATTTAGTATCATATAGAAACAGACACTTTTGAAGATGTTTGAGTAGTATGTAAGGCTTTTTTCTTAGTTTCACAAAACTGAAATTAATTTTAAAAGATCCGCTGCCCCATTCAGAAAATATAACATTTGTTTCTAAATGTTGCAATATCCATGCAGAAATAATAAAACCATGCATTTATGACAGGCTGATGTTTAAAAAGAATTATTACAATTATTACAAGTCTAGAATACTGCAAGAAGCAAGGTAAGAGGTGTTTGTTTTATGTCTGAGTTTAAATGCACCTCTCTATGTTTTGTTGTCTCACAGGAAAAGGATTTTCATAGAATTATAAAGCTGAGATGAAAACTTAAATGGTCCCTTTTGAATCTGTTTATTCAGAGCCAACTCATTTTGAGTATATAACTGAAAATAAACTTCGAAGCTACTACTACTGAGAAATTGAGAAGAGCACAGCTTAATGAACTTCTTCTACTTTCATTATTCTAAAGGTCTGGCTGTTTAAAGTACCCCTTGGTTAAATACATCTTTACAGTTTTTCTATATTCTTTATAGCTAAGATACTTGCATTTTTCTCCAATTTTTAATCCTGTCTTTCCAGTTACATGTACCAGTGTCCTGACTTCTTCATATCTTTCTGCTTAAACATCCAGAAGATCATTTTTCTGCTTACAGAAAAAACCAATATCCACTCATCTTGTGTTGTAAAGAACGCCTCACGAAGACTTACTGCCAAGTACCTATTCATATTATTTAGTTCTAAATTAAAGAAATAAGAGACCTGAAAGATGGTAAATATGTTAATATTGGGTATTAATGTGTATGGTGGCATAAAAGCTGCTCAAAAGTCAGCACATCCTATACACTGAAAAGATGGTCACAAAACACAAAAACCGTATCAACAAAGCCAGAGCACGATGTAAGAGAAAGCTTCCTAAGGGGCTGTGTCCATTCACTGTACGTGCAGACAGGATTCATGCTTTATTCTCTTTTTTCAAAAGTATATGAAGGTATTTATTTTTCTTTATAACTGACATTTTGGAGGGGTGGGAATCTTAATTTTTGTTCAGCAGACAAACTATCAAAAGGTTCTAAGGAACTGGAATGGTTGGAAAGGCCAACAGGAAAATCAACACTGTACTTGATCTGAACCGAGATGTCTTTCAACAGATTACCCTGAAATTGTTTTAAAGTTAATATCTATGTTTTCACTATTTACATACCGTACCTAACACAGGACACGAAGAACAGAAACTGTGACTTGGTACTTACACCGTGTCTTTTGTAACATCAAAAACAAAATGTAAGAAATTAACCTTAAAACAATCATCTAGCTTCTGGTAAGTTGATGCTGCTTTTCTCCCGCTATAATTTGTATGAAACAAGTCACCACATTACTTTTGCTAATTTTCCTCTTATGCTAAGAGCAGACATACGTGTCTATATTTATGGTGAAATAGGTTCTGCAGAGGCAACAGTAAAACTTATTTTTGTTACTAAGAATATTTGTCTCTACAGTGATCATTAATGTATTCTTCTCCAGGAACAGCAGATCCCATAAACTGAGATTACCAGTGCTACCAGAGCAATCATTCAAAGCACTGAAACACAGGCACTGGTGTTAATCATTACCACTAGGGAAATTCAAATTGGCATTGCAATCTCAGCTGTCAGAATTCAAAAGTTAGTCTTTTTACCTTACAGTCTCTGAATTAAGATGAAAACTTGTTTTATGAAAAAAAATTTAAAGTTAAAAGACACCTCAGAATCTTTGTCCTTTTACATTAGGGAAACATGAAGAAAATCCATCCTATTGGAAAGATCACACAGAAAGCAAATCCCCTTCAATGTCACAAAACGGAACGATCATAGGTAAGACTACAGTACTGTTCGAATGTGGACAAAACCAAACGACTTCAACACAGGCCACATGAGCCAAGAGTACATGCCATGCCTCACTTTCTACTGTCTGCATTTGGACTACTACATAGCAGAAAATATACCTGGTTAAGTGTGTTGTCAGTCTTTAGTTCTTTATGATTGGAATACTGGATATAGATGGGCTGGTTACGGAGATGAGGCGTCACAGCAGAGTAGTAATTGACCACAGTGACAGCTGCTTCTTCTGTAGCAAGTTCCAGAAACGCCTGAAATAAAACAGTTAATTTTCACTATTTACAAAGCAGGTAATCTCCATATTAGCAGCATTTAAAAAACACTTAAAAGATTTGATAACACATTTAGGCAGGTATCAGTCTTCAGGAGATACCATTCTCTACATACCAACTTTATTTGCTAAGCTACTCCAAAAATTCATCTGTGAAGATGCAGGACTAAATATTTATCTTACAGCTAACTTTTTCCCTTATGTAGCTGCCAACCAACCCCTGTTCCCAATATAAGTTCATAAAAAACTACAAAGTAACAAACATCTTTTTTATTTTTAAATACTTACTGTTAGAGGACTAATTTCAATAGCATTTTAGCAGTATAGCTTGAAATTAGAAAGTAAGCGTACTAAAAAAAGGAAAGTAACAAATTACCTGGTTTTTCCCCTTCAACATCAGGATGTTGGTTACCTTACCAAAAGGTAAACCTAAAGCAATAACTTCCGTTTCTGTCACTTCCCCAGGCAATTTCCTGATATGAAGAACACGAGAAGGAGCCCCATCCATTTTATTGTCACCTTTGAATTTCTTCTTGTCATTACCATTGGCTGAAAGACATATTCAGACCCTATTTGAAAAGTTTGCTGATATTATTAGTGCTTTGTTAAAAATGTTTTTCATTATGAGGTAATGTAAGTAAGCCATCTCTTAGTTTGGCCTAAATAAAATTCAAAGCTTCAGAACAAATGTTACATAGTTTCATGAAAGGCAGGCTGTTCACGACTAACTCCATACCCCTCTATAACTCACTCATAGACAAGACAAAAACCACAACAAATCCTTTACGTCTCCCTTTCAGTGAAATTTATCATTTGATAATACATAGGAACATTAATTATGACTCAGAAAGGTTTGTATAAGAACTCTGAAAGTATATTAAAAGAAAAATAGAGTTTTCCCAGATTTTTTCTGAAAGAAGAGAAACGCTGGTACTAGAAGAGGTCCTAAAGGCAAGTTTTAAGGATTATTTGCACTAAGGAACCAGACACAAAAAGCAGAGAAGTTTCAATGCAAGACAGGAAGCATTATTAATGCTGAGAAGGATCACACTGGAGAAAGGAGATGACCCAGAGGACTGGCATCACAAAAGTCTGATGAAACCCCATAGAAAAGGAAAAGTCAACTAATAAACGTGAAACAGCCAACATTGATGGGGGGCATCTCTGGGAGGGAGGGGAAAGACAGACAGTATTTCCTAGCAGATGTAAGGAAGCATTAACATCACTGTACAAAGTACCAGAAAGATACTATTCAGAATATTGTCCATAATCTTTGTACAGAAGGCCAGCAAAATGCCAGCTTGAGTTCTTTTTTCTTGAACATACGCAGTAAACAGCCAGGCAGCTGGATGGAGGAAGTCTTGCTTTGGAAAGAAGGTCAGGGAAAAAGTATTTACTTGGCTTAAGAGGCAATACAATCGCTGCCTAACATCAGAAAGAGACAAGAGCTAAAGAACAACACTGTCATAAGATATATGGATATTAATGAATCAATGCTGGAAATCAGAATGTGTTTAGATACAGAGAAGTGTTAAGACTTTTTTCTACTTCTGGCTATAAAACATGGAAGTCTGGTGAGTTATTCAACCTCTGATTTCATGTTAGAAGTTCAACAGCTACCTGTATTTGCAAAAAACCCACCAAACCAAACCAAACCAACCCACAGCAGGTACATCATTTAACTGTGTTTTCAATGCTATCAGGAAAACTGGTAAACTCGGGGTCTCTAACCAAACCTATGAACATACTTGGTCCTTTTTCAAGAATAAGATCATTATCCATACTTCCATTAAAGGAACTGATGGGAAAAGGACAAATGTACACATCAGGAACTGTTTCCATCACTCCCTTCTTTCTCTAACATCTATCATCTCCATTCTAATTTGAATTTTACTGCCTTCCACTTCAGCTATCCATCTGAAGACTTAGCCAAATTAAAAATTCAAGATTTTCTCTTACTTAAAAATTGTATGGCTTAGCACAGGTCATCCTTTAACCCGTCCTTCCCCCCCAAAATTAAAAATATTTCCATTTACCAAATTTCCAATTTACTATAGCAGACAAAACAACAAAAATCTAACCACAGCAGAACTAGTCAAGACTCAGCTAGGAGTATCTCCAACTGACAATGCTAGACGGGGTCAAACCCATGCAACAGCATCTATTTTATTTGGTCTGCTGCACAGAAGGACAAATTTTGATGGGACACAGAGGGGTAAAGTGTCAAATATTACACACCGAATTAGGATCTGAAGTCCATCCTGAGTCTAAACAAGGCATTAACCTGTTACAGGTAGCCAGATTCACCCGTTTTTATTACACCATCAGAAAAGTATATACCATGAATGCTCACATCAGCACTTACAGAGCTGTTTTGTCTTTTGTGTGGTTTTCAACACATAATTTTGTCATACCAACTTTTCCATACCATAATGTCCATGAATTTTCTTTCTCCTTTTTAAATTAAAGCTTGTATTTGGATTAGGCTTTAGGTAATCCCAATGTTACTAGTAAAAGTAACACCAGTATATAGTCCTTATAGTAAATTCAGACCACCAAAAAAGCCAGTATGTAATCCACTCACATTGATGTATTTACAATAATTATTAAAGGAACATTTCTTTGCATTACCTGAATGATTTTGCTATCTATTAGCATTGCTATCTAACATTGGCATTTCAAACCTACTGCAGCAGAAGATGAAAACGTCGTAATAAAAAAGTGTTCCGTTGTCCCAAAGAGCAGTTAACAGCTTTAACTTGTCATGTATACAAGTCTCACACAATTTTAGTTTTTAAACTATCTTAAACTAAACATTTGCTAAAATAGCCTTTACGCTTTTTTTACTTCCTATCAAAAAGAGCTACATAGACAAGTGCCTATTCTAAATTTTTAACTGAAAAAGTAGATTTATGATTATATTAAGATAACATACACAAAAAAGACACAGAATTTTTCACTAAAGAATGGATGGCAATCAGAAAAAGGGGCAGGGGGGGTCGGGGACACAGGACGGGGGGGCTGACAACAAGCATTCTCAATGCCCGAACAAAGGTTTTAGCGACAGGGCAAGCAACCATGAGAAAAGCTGTTTATTACTGATAGCCAGAAGAGTATCTTGCACAATGAAAGCTGAACTGGAAACATTCACAAAAAATGCAGCCCACTTTCTTAAAGTAAAATTTACCCCAAAACATTTAACACTGGCCCTTAAAATGACAAATTAACCCATCAGTTACCACGCTTTTCTCGAAATCCAAGGGAACACACACT